ACATGATTATTGAATAAGTTATTTCACTTCGGGTAGTTTACCATTCATTAAAGTGGCAATAACATCTGTTCTACCTAACTCAGAGAGCTACAGCCAGAATTCTCTTTTGAGAATTAAATGATAAGAATATGGAAGGGCTGGATAAAGTATAAAGGACTGTACCAATATAGAGAGATTATACTGAAAGGGTCACCTTGAATTCATACCCTATGGATTCACTTTTTCAAAAATCTTACATAAAAAATATTTTTTAAAAGAAACTTCAGAGATTGGAGAAAGTCAACTCCAGGTCAAAAGACAATTCCAACTTTACAAACTTTCAAACTTTACAAATCATTCTGGGTGATAATCTATCATAATAATGGATTAAAAATATTATCAAATTTCATTCAGCCAAACTACTAAGAGAGAGAATTCCCAATTCACAGAGTTGTAATAATAGGAAAATTACAAAATCACCTCAAGAAAATAATATATTAGTAAAGCAGGAAAGCTCGCTTACTTTAGTACCTACCAAGAACAGAAAAAGAAAGATCTATACTCCGTCTGCCATCAAAGTCTAAGGCTTTGTGTTTTTTGCAAATTTGAAGCAGAGAGGGGACCCAGATTACAGCATAAAGAACACTACTGGCTAGTACTTTAAAGAGCAGAAGAAAAATTGCATCATCTTGTCGCCCTCATCAGTCTAGAACAGAAGATGATGAGACAAAACCACACATACATACAAGAATCATTCCACAAAAAATGATATAGACACTTAACATAGTAAAATTTGGAAGAAGACAAAACTTAATAAAAAATATATATGAGCTCATAAGCATATAGTACAGGACACAAAAAGCCATTTGGAAATGTAGGGGCATTCCAAGACAGGTGTGGAAACAGAAGTTGTTTAAAAAACGCAGTGAAAAGTATAAGAACAACAGTAGTAAAATAAAAGGACGCTAAAGCCTAAAGAGCTACTAACTGGGAAAAAAGCACACCCCGCTTTTCAGTGTGCCAAAGCCCTTTAGAGAAAGGATATTAGCAGAACATCTTATAAAAGAAAATCATAACACATGGTATCACATAAATATAAGTTGACGTGGAAAACATGTGGGTACTTTTCCATTTTCACAGTCAGAATTAAAAAATAAGAAAGCAAACCCCAGAGAATACAGACATAATAGCAAGGTGAGAAATGTAATCGGTAACTACAAGGTAGCAGTGGTTAAACAACTCGTGGGCTAAAAAGCTCAACGAATGGGTAGAGGACGGTAAAAGTAACTCAAACATGTAGGTTGAGTTGCAGAATCATAAAACCTAATAAGCAGTTGAGAAGCTAGAATCTGTGCCTGGATAAGCAGGTTTTTATTTCTGTGGTTTAACTATTACCTCAAAAATTATTGAGTACTTACCATGTGTCAGGTATCCTGCAAGGTGCTGTTGGGAGTAAAAGCATGAATCCGGTAGCCCCTGCTCCAAAAGTTCTGAGTCTATCGAAGGAGATAGGCTCATATACAAGTAAATCTATTCGAAGGCACATTATGATAAGAATTGTACGAGATGCATCAAGAGGTTACGGCGTGGTGGAAAGCAGTCCTCACCAGAACATAATAAGATGTCCTGGATAACTCTGGACTCAGACAGAGGGCACCTGAGGTCCAGTGCCAGTTCGGCCCTCAGAAGGCCTTGCATCTCTGAGCAAATAACTTACACTCTCTGCTCTATAGTTCTCACATTTACATCAGAAAAAGGTGGACTGTGTGACTTCTATTAGTTCTAACTTTCCGTCTTTGCAGTTGAGCTTCCTGGAGGTCAGCCTCTGAATTAAGTTATGAATGAAAAGATTTTTATGGGCTACAAATTGAGGGACAATGTGTACTATAGGCAAAGAAGAGAGTGAGCTGAGGCACAAGAAACTGGCATCATCAATTCATCCTGTAAACTAAAAACTGTGTTACCTACTGTCTAGGGATCTCACTAATGGTACAGAACATTCTAAACAGACAAAAAAGAAAAAGAAAATGGATATAAACTTTAAAAATGTATAAAAATTTAAAGAGAAATAACATGAATTATAAAAATGTTTAGATAACAGAGAATGTACAAACATTTAAATTAAATATAAAGTAAAGCAAATCTTACACTTCTAACAAGTATCATGTCATAATATATAGCAGATGAATAGATGTAGCTTCATTTAAACAAGAAGTCTGAATATCCACGAACTTTTCCTCATATTTATCTTTAAAATGTATATATGCAAGGGAAATTTCTTCTTACACGTATTCAAAAAAGGTTACATTAAAAAAGAGACAGAGATTGGCAGAATTGCAAGAAAGAATCAAGACTTCAGAAATTAAATGAGACTGAATTGCTTCAAATGAGGATGCCATATTCCAAACTGTTTATTGCAAGAGAAGAATTACTGAGCAGTGCACTCACCCATCCAGCCATCCGCCATCCATCCAAATATATGTATACATAAGAACATACAGACGTACATTTTGACCATACACAATCATTCCTACTAAAAACACTGTCACATAATAAGAGCCAAGAGGAACATAAGGACAAGTGAGAAACCATGTCTTGTTGCTTAAATGGGGAAACAAAGCTTACATTCTTATAAGGAAGTAAGGAAGTATCACCATCATATGGGGCCTGAGTGCCACATATGCCACGAATAGAAGGACAAGCAGTGGTGCACGCTGGGTAAGGACAACAGCCTCACTGTAGAAACCATTGCCCACAAAACCATTGAGAATGTCACCTCTCCTCTCTAAGCTTCCATTTCTTTATGTGAAGAAACACTTACTTCATAGGGTTATATGAGACGGCAGTAAAATGACAATGAAAAAGCATAGTGCCTTACAGAGACTACATGTCCAATACATAACAGAGGAAGAGCAGGAGGAAGAAAAAAGGAAGCAGAAATCTGATAGTCAGAATAAGATGTATGTGGAAACCCAGGGGAAGGGAGTGATTACTTCTGATCTAGGCCATGCCCAGACATTTTGGAGAAGGTGATACAAGCAGGATTTTGACAGGTGACATAGGGTGTGGGGTGACATGTTGAGAAAGAGCAAAGAGTTGTGAGCTGCAGAGTAGTCGAGATTATGCCAGTGTCCCTAGAGAACAAGACAGACAGTGGGTGAACCTCACATAGTACAGTGAAGAGGGTGGGGCATCTCAAGGTAGGGAGAGTCACGCGAGGGGCAGACTCACCATAATTCATAGCATGTGGAGTGAAGGGGCCTGAAAGGAGACCATTACATGCTTCTCTCCTCCCTCTCATACATGCCACTTATTAGCCTACTTAATATAGGACCTGCCCCCACCCTGACCCTTGAGTGTTCATCGACCAGTGTGTCTCCTAAGGCTTCCTCACATGTTTGCCTCCCACTCTGCAGGGACCTGTCTTATTCCTTAATATTAAAGGGAAGTCCATTTTAGCTCCCCCCAAAAGTTAGGAACCAAAATAACAATCCCCCTAGTAAGCAGATAAGGGGAAACATTGAAAAACCAAATGAGAAAGCCAACACATGGCTCCTCCTGTTCTTAGGAAGAGGGATTCTCTTCCAGATCCCATTCCTGAGTCTTGCAGTCACTAAAGAAAGATGAGCTAAAGAAAACCAGCTCCAGTAAGTCCTTGATTAACAGCAAAAGTGTAGTCTCCTTCAAGGCCAATAAAACTCCAGGCACCACTGTGGAGATTAGTAGAACACTAAGGGTGTCATTTACTGTTTTTCCAGAGCTGCTCTCTAATGGTCTTGCTGTTGCCCTTTCTTGGAGAAAGGATACCCAAAGATCCACAGCCACAGCTCAGGTGTGCATGCTGATGCCTGACCTCCCTCACACCTGCCTAAGCACCCATCCACCTTATATAAGCTACACATCTGGACTAGGCTTCTGATTTCGGAAGTCATTAGATAGTAATTAAAACACCAATAGACTAGTGAAGTGTTTACTGGGGGCAGGGAGAGGACTAGGAAGAAAAAAGAAAGACTGAACTATGTCACAGAGTGTGAAAGAGTCTCACGCAAAAGTGCCTAAACAAACACACTAATGTCATCCAAGGAGCAATAAGAAAAATCATGGAGAGGGTAAGGTAACTTTTTTTAAAAGTAAGATGGCAGGGGAGATAAGGAAGAAAATAGAGAAAGGGGTGCTAAATCTCCTTTCACTGTCTCTTTTCTCTCAGCTCCCAGAAGTCTAACATTCTTCTATTTGTCAAAAGTTAGTGTTTCATGGATTTGGATGAGCTGCTGACATTGACTGGTAAAAATATGAAACCTCTTCAACCAAAGAGCATGGCACTCTTCACTTTGCCTGGGGGTTTAGTGTGTGAGTGGGCACATGCATACACACCTGTGATGCTGAGCTCATGTAGATCATCAAACTCCACTTGATGGAAACTGAATGGACTGCTATTAAAATCCCTAAAACTAGGCTTCACTCAAATTTGTCTGTGAGCTTCTACAAATGCAGACCTCACAGAGCTCTCCAGAAAACTTTATCCTACAACCGACTAGGGGAGGAAAAATAGCCCGAGAAGGCAAAACAATTTCAGGTGCCTTATTAGGTTCACTTTGTATGGGTTTCCCATCAGACCACTGCTTGGCAGCATTTTGGGACAGTTGTCCAACAGCAAGAGGGAGGGACAATGGGTGGTAGACACATCTTTATAAGACAATGGGAGGAGGTGGAGGATAACGCTGTAGAAGGGCACTGAGCTATGAATGAAGGGACCAGGGTTCTAGTTTTGGCTCTAGCTCTAACTCATAGTATACCCATAGCCATATAACCCCTAAAAGGTCTCAATCTCTTTATCCCTAAGAGAAGGGGTGGCCTAGATGGTTTCTACGTGTTCTTTAACCTTTGATAGTCTATAAACTATGATAACCACATTACGCGTTCTTGAGCTACCTTCTTCTGACACAACATTGTGCTGTAAGCCACCCATTATATTGAACTCTCCCACTTTGGGCACCCAACTCTCATGTCCCCACACTGACCTTCACCTCCAGATTGCTTGTAGGGGTTGTACTTGGGCTTTGGAGCAACCACTGGTGCAAACTTCTTGGGCGGCTGTTGCGTGGACACTGAAATGCTGGGAGTCCCAAAGGAATGGGTGGTCTCCATCCGCGCAGGCACATGGCCAAAGGGCTCGCCAGTGCTTTTGGGTGGCAGCCACGATGGGTGAGACATGGTTGGAATCTGGAATTAAAAAGAAATTCACACAGTTGTTTTCACAGAAGCATGAATATGTTGGAGGCAACATATCTCACTTCATTATTATTTCATCTTAACCCTTACTTAACAAAATCCTGATGAAGCTGCCTGAAAAGAAGGAAGAAGAAAGATAAAAGATGGAAGAAGGAAGAAAGAACAAGGAGGAGGACAGTGATGAAAACTTACCTTAAGTGGAGGAGGAGAAAAATTAAACACTCCCTTTAACCAATCTTGAAGACCTCTCTTCCGACAGTTACCTCTTTTAGGGCCTAGCACCATTCAGGTGCTAAATAAGAAATGATTTCTAACCTGAAGAAGTTTCTGTGGTAGGAGAATCTTATACCAGCAAGGTTGGAAAAAAGCTTCAATTTTATCAATAATCTATTAAAATGATTACCACACCAATTAAATGGTGATAAGTCACCTAAATGAGGTGATATTACCTAATCGAGCTAAAAAAAAAAAAAGTGTTGCTGGAATGCAGAAAAAGATAAGTTCACTTCTTGCTGGGAGCAGAACGAAGACCTCGTTAATGAGATGACCTTCGGACTGGGCCTGGAGTGCTGAGTGGAGGTCAGGCCTTAACAGTGTTAATAAAACTGCATAGGCAGAAAAGTACACAGCACTTACGTTTAGCATGGCTGGAGAGAGAACAAGGAAAAGTAGCTAGCAAGGAACTAAAATGTGGGATAGAACCAAAGCACAGACAGCTTTGCATGCAAGCTTGAGGAGTTGGAACTTATTCGGTAAGCATTAATGAACTACCAAAAGTTTATTCTTGAAACCAAGACATCACAAGTGTATGTCAGGACACTTTTAAATGATCCCTCTGGCAGGAGCAGTTATGCCCCCCAACCAAGGGGTACTTGAAAATTTGGGGTAGGGGGACATTGTTTGCACAATGTGAGACAATTACTGGCACTTAGTAGCCAGGGACTAGAATGTTCAACACCTGTAATGCACAGGTCAGCCCCGCATGTCAAAGAAATGCCACATTAGGAGCTATGCTGAGCTGATAGCATATTGGACCTTCACGAAAAACTTAACTAGGAGGGGAACAAACCAGCCCAGCCCAGGCGCTGTTCTGATCAGATTACGATAAAGAAAGCAACATGATGTCTGCTGTGCATGTCACGGTAAGCCAATCACCACTCCAGGCAGCCTGCGGGCTGGGGCTGAGCCTCCCAGACTGCTGCTGAGGAGGGCTCTCCAAGGCTGATTGCAAGAACTCTCCAGCACAGGGAGGCCCGGAAGGCACCCTGCACCCACCCCCAGCCCCAAATCCACCCAGTAATTTATTAATTGAACTGAATTAATTGAGAGGGCTACATGATTACCTCCAGATGTCTTTAGAGACAAAGAACACTGGAAATGCAGGAAAAAATAAAAACGTCAGCACGTGCCATGACAATGGAGAGATGGAGGAGAGGGAGAGAGCTAGGGCACAGTGTTGCCTGAGTATTAGCATCGGGCCACACCAGGACGAGTGACACGACCTTGAGCAGCCCCTAACCCCCATCGGGTGCCTCAGGTACCTTCACTCCCTCAAAAATAAGATCAAAGCCCTGTCCTCCTTAACTCACAGAGTTTTTATGACAACCAATGAAATAACGACATTAGAGTGTTTTATATACTGTAAAGTGCCATGCAAAGTGAGGGAAAGAAAAGTGTTGGAGGCATAGTTTTCTCAATAAGAGAGGATGACAGGAATCAATAATGAGGACTCTAAATTGGGAACCAGGAGGCTTCTGTTGCTGAAGCCAGTGGTGACATTGGCTTTTCACTCTGGCTGCAGGGCCCTTCTCTTCCTCTTCCTCTGCTGCACCGTGTGCACGTGCTATGTACATACACACTTGCTAAACTGTGATTTCCTTGAAAGGGCAAAGAGATATTTTACATATCCCTAAACCACCAAGATAAGGCCCAGAACAAAACCAATATAGTAAAACAACCAAAATGTCTGGTTTACTCATGGTTCTTAAACCTAGCAGCACATTAGAATCGTTTGAGAAGATTCTTTTTTTTTTAGATACCAAAACCAAGCCCATCTCTCAGGGTTGAGAAACGCTAATTTTGGTTTTGTATTTTTTTTCAACTGAGTCTCGGTCTTCTACTAAAAGGTGATAAAAGGGACGATTCTGCTTTCAACATGACCAAAGTGAGCATAAGTGGGGAACAAGTAGGATAAAATAAAAGTTTAAAGATTTAAATGTGTCATGAACATTTGTAGTATAAATTTTATTTGTAAATTTTTAAAAGTGGGTTAATATTATCCTTGCAACTTTTCTGTAAATCTAAATTTATTCCAAAATAGAAACTTTAAAAAATGAGTTAATATAGGATGCACTGATTTCTAAAGCAAAGAGGCACATTTCCAGAGCAATCCCAGATTGCCAATTGACTGTGGAATCCTGGCATTTTCAGATACGCCATAGGTATAAAGGAACAGGCAACTTCTGGAAGAGTATAAAAAATGAAAACTTAAGCACCAGTATGCAAATGATTGACTCCATCAGCTTTTCAGTTATCTTCAGCACCATCTATTACCCTGACACTGCCTTCCCCATGGAGACACCTCTAGCTCTACCTTCTGAGAGATTCAAGGTCTGGCCAAGTATCTGTTTACAGATGACCTTAACAGTATCTTCTCGTACCATTCTTCTGTATGTCAACAGTGGCCCAGTGACACCATTCCCAGGATTTGTAATGAACTCTCATGACCTCAAACCCTTGCTCATGCTGTGTCCACCATCTACAATACCATTTCCCTCCCTTCACTTTCTACCAAGCCCTGTTTGTTTTTTTTTCAATCTTAACCCAGCTCAAATGTCTCTGATGTTATGAACATTTCCATAACTCCCCCCTAAAAAGAGTAGCTTAATTCTAGGTTCTTCTAGTACTTGTTTCATACTTATAACAGTCCAAATGGAAGCTATTTATTCATCTGCATATCTCCCCCAAAAGATGGAAGCTCCTGAGTGGTCTCAATATGCCAGCAAAAAGCTTGGCTAGGAAGCCCTGAGAAAAATGTTATGCATGAAGGAGTGAATGAATGAATGCTGATCTCCTTGGTTATTCATCCCTTTCTAGAATCTCTATATCTCCCTCCTTAGCATCCACTGATACAATCATCTGTCTTTCACTCCCTTAATTTAGCAATGTAATGAATCATGTTGATAGATTTCCAAATATTGAACCATCTTTGCATTCCTAGAGAAAAAATCCTACTCATTCACAGTTGTAGTGTTTTTCTATACTGATGAATTAAATATGCTACTTTATATAGAATTTTTGTACCTATAATCATAAGTAAGATCATTCTGTAGTGTGCTTTCTCTACTTGTTTTACTTATCACTGTTAGGTTTTGATATGAGTGTTCTGTATCTTTTTCTACTATTTGGATTAGTTTAATGATGAGATTAGAATTATCTGATCTTTAAAGGTTTATCAGAATTCAGTGTAAAGTCATCTAGATATGATACTTTCTTTAATAATAGATCTTAATCATATTTCCAATAACTTCTATGATAATTGGAAGTTTTATGCTTCTTTTGAGGTTAGTTTTCAGTATTTATATTCTGCTGAAAATTCATCCATTTCCTCTAGGTTTTATCTCTGCTTCCTTTCAATCATGCTACCTCTCAATTAAAAATGATGTCTCATATACCATGCATCATTTAGATCCTGAGCATCACTTCCTACTAGTCCTTAAAGGCATAATTCATATTCTGTATCCTCCAGGTCAAGTTACATACCTTTTTACTACACTTCCACAGCACCTGGAACATTGCCATCAGCACACTTTTCACATGTCACTCTGCCTCTCTGCTTGCCTGTATCTCAAACTAAACTCTTGGAGCCCTGAGAGCAGAAGTGATTATCATTCTCTAATCCCAGGGCCTAATACATGATAGGCACTCAATAACAATGCCTGTTAATTTAATGAATGAATAAATTTATTTGCCTAGCACAGGAGCTCCAGATGAATCAGATTCCCCTCTTGTACTCAAGGAGCTTAAAGCCTACCTGAGGAAGATATATCCACATATGTGAAAAGACAAAGAGAGAAACACAAAGCATACAAAAAAACTGGAGTACATCACAGGAGCTACCACAGGCTTGGCAGGGGTAGCCCTTAACAAGGACTTTGAAAGCTGGGTGGCTCTGAAGAATACATGGAGCAGTAAGGAGGATGCCTGGAAATACTGTGAGCTCAAGGAAGAAGCAAGGCACTTCTGTGGGACAAGGAGCAGACCAGTTGTATTGCAATGAAGGACTCAGGAAGAATACTTAGGGAAAAGGTTTTGAAGATAAAATAAGCTTTGCTTTTTAAAGACTTTATATAGAGAAATAAGACTAGAACTTTTATCTTTGAACAGGAATTTCATGAGTGAAAACTCTATGTAAGAAAAATTAATCCACGCAGGAAAGATCCAAGGATGGCAATAAATACAACAGCATAGACACAGAGTCCCGATGGCCCAAGTTCTAGTCTCAGCTTTGCCAGCGTGACCTTTAACAAGAGAGAAGACTCATTTGCAGAAGGAATGTCTGTAAAGTCCCAATCAGCTCTAATATTCTATAGTGCTTTCTTTCTCTGAAATCTTAATTACAGCCCTTCATTTTGATAAATGGGTTTGAGGAAACCTCACAAGTTTAGTGAACAGATGAACTAGAACAAGCCAGCTTGGGTTTCTCAATTTCTCCGAGAGAGACCAATGTAAACACAAAGATAATCAGCGAAGAGAGCTGGTTTTGCTGGACCAAAACTTACCCTGCTCTTACTTCCTCTGGTTCTAGATCAGTTTCACTCTAAGCTTACAATCATCACGAAAGCAAGAAGTGAAAGGGCTGATCTCCACAGGGGCTCTGAAAACACACAAACACCATGAGAAGAGAGGAAAACAAGAGAAATGGCCCTTGTCTAAGCAAGATGCCTACCACTAAAGGGAATTAGAGAGCTGAGGCTCCCTAGGCACTGGTC